TGAAAACTCCTTCATGCATATGTATTCAGGTAGTCCCCGACTTATGATGGATTCGAGCTACAATGACCGTATTTACGGTCGTCTGGGCTTTTTATACATCTTATTATTAGCAATATGTAGTCCACACACACACGTTTGCAGAGTATAATTTCCTGATGCTATCATTCTCAGAGGTACACTGACAGGTGTTCAAAGACAAAGATCAGATTTATAAAGATACTAATAATAAAAGGCAGTAATGATGAAAAATATAAAGAGGTATTACTTACATCAAAACTGAATAATGACGAAGTTGTCAGAATGGAACCCCATTGGAAGTCGGAATGACTTGTATTCCATGACCTGTGCATGGTCTGGGTTAATGACACATTACATACACTAGGTGACTGACCTCCAATACACCTTTTCAGAGATTTGATCGGGTTTGGTTCTCATTGTATCACCATCTGCCTTTTCCATCCCCTAATCTATGACTCCTTTACTACATGTAAAAACTATACCATTTTGCCTGGGCATTTGATTGCGTAATAATTTTTAAAAATCTTAACACACCTACAGGGAAAATGGAGATGAAACAATCGGTAGACAAAAGAGTTCTTTCCAGTGACAGATTCACAAGCCTACAAGAAGGACAAAACGTGAAATAGAAAATCAAGTTCAAAGTTCAAAGCAATCAGCAGTCACTATGAGTCAGGGCTGGCAGGTGCCTTTGTGCCGGGAAGCAGGACAGTGAAGGGGAAGTGCAGGTTTTTGGCCCTCTGGTGGTGGAGATGTGCATCTTCAAAGGGAGTGATGGGCTCCTGCTTGTTTTGCTTTCAGACGTCAAGCCTTCCAACGTGCTGATCAATGCTCTGGGCCAAGTGAAGATGTGTGATTTTGGAATCAGCGGTTACCTTGTGGACTCTGTTGCTAAAACAATCGACGCAGGATGCAAACCTTACATGGCTGTAAGCTGGGGGGTGGGGGGCATCTGAGACTGCAGCTGCCAGCAAACCAAGCCAGGAAGCAGGAAGTGGAAAGGCATACGGGGGGAGAAAAGGAAAATGTGTTATCCCTCCTGCCTAAGACCCAGGAGTATCCACATCTCTTTAGATCTTAAACACAGCGAGACCTGTGAGAGCCGGAACTTGAGGCGACCACCTTGTTTGTCTGGGTCTTGCGAGTTTTCCACCTTTGAAAGCTTGTAGTGCTTTTCTGTCGCTGTTGGTGGAAAGCATTTGGGTTTTCCTTCTCTGATAGGTTTCTGCCCTACACAGGTCCAGTTTTTGCAGGTTTTACTGTGTTTCCTGTCTGCAATCCTTAATTAATTTGTTCATATGTATTACTTTTTTGAAAAAAATATCAAGTAAAAAGTTGTATCACACTATTTGGGGGGGGGGGACACATAAGTAATTCAACCTGCACAGTTTCCCACACTGAATGGCAGGTGAGTGTACCTTACTTGTTGAGTACAGAACAGTAAATAGAATTTAAATCACCCAAACAAGTCAGTTAGGTCTGTCATTGGAGAATCTCATGGACGTGAAGACTCATTGCTGTTATCAGAGAACTTGGGGTCTCCTTCACTGAAGAGACTTATATTCTCTTTGGAAATGAACTTATTCCTGGAATTGAAAAGCTTTCTTTCCAGGTTTAATAAAAGTTACGTAGGTACTTAGATCTTTACCAGTGGCCAGTAATCCACTGACCCTTGGAGATTCTTCTCATTGAGTTCTGGACTGTTGGTGTTTCTAGTCAGGCTAGTTCTAGACCAGAGAGTAGCTTTGTAACACATATCTCATTTCTTTTTATGGTGAAATTCATTTTGAAAGGACTTTGATTGGTGACTTTCTCCCAGAAGAGACTGCTGTTGTATGAGGAAAATTCCAGGGAGATGTTGATATTATTGATCATAGTTAGTGAGTCTTCTTGGCTGGGGAAACTTGTGAACAGCTTCTAGCAGCTCCTGTGATAGCTGCTTTACCCAGCACTCCCACCCCCCCATAGAATTTATTAAGCTAAGAATGCCATCTCAGTTGTCTTTTTCTGTCTTCTTTCCAGCCTGAAAGAATAAACCCAGAGCTCAACCAGAAGGGATACAGCGTGAAATCTGACATTTGGAGTCTGGGCATCACAATGGTAAAGTATGCTCATTTTCATGGACTCTGGCATTCGGGGCATGATGTTGAAGTGGGTTGCCTTGGGGACCAGGAGACAGATGCTCAACGTGCTCATCTTGGGCATCCTCTTCTTCCTCAGAAGGCAGGAGAGTTTCAGTGAAAATCAGTTGAGCAAATATAATAGAAACACTGCCTTGCTATTGGACAAACTCAGTTCTTCCTTTATTCCACCTCTAATTCCTTAAATATCTTTGAGCAATTGATGTAGTCACATGAGCTGCTTTACTCTCCTCATGTGTAAAATGAGACGGTCTGACTAGATTCCTCGTAGTTTAAATTATTCTAGTTCTGATACCTGCTACAACGTAGAAGAACCTTGAAGACATTATACTCAGAGAAATAAGTCAGACACAAAAGTGCAGCTACTGTATGAACCCACTTATATGAACTGTCTAGCAGAGGCAAATGTCTAGAGACAGGAAGTAGATTAATGGTTAGCAGGGGCTGAAGGAAGGGCGAGGTGGGGAGTTATTGCTGAATAGGTACAGAGTTTCTGTTTGGGGTGATGCAAATGTTTTGGGAATAAATAGTGGTGACAGGTGCACAGTACTGTGAATATAACTGATGCCACTGAACTATACAGGTAATAATTTTTAAATGGAAAATTTTATATTAAATATATTTTACTACAGTTAACATAAAATGAAATTATTCTAGTCAAGCCAAGAAACTTAAGCTACTCAAAGAGTGCTGATATGTGTGGACATTGATAGGACTGTGCCATCCAGGACGTAAGCGTGATTCCCCAGATAGTGTTAGGACTGAAGTCTTGGCTGTCCAAAACCAAAATAACAAATAGCGTAAAATCATTAGGCACAGCCCTAAGATTATACAGTCAGTGCCATGTCCATAAGTTTTTTTTTTAAACCCAGTTCCTGTTGTTGACATCAACTCATGGTGACCCCATGTGTGTCAGGGTAGAAGAGTCCTTCATAGGGTTTCCAGTGGCTGCTTTTGGGTGCTTCTGGATGGACTTGAACTTGCAGCCTTTCAGTTAGCAGCCAGGTTGATCCTAAATTTTCAGTGTATCACCAAGGTCTGGAATTATCCTGTGGTATTGGCTCCTTTCCAGAGACAGCAGCTGATTAAATTCTGTGAGTTATTCACGTTCTCTGCCCAGAAAACACATGATCCTGTAACAGCGAAGTGGCCTTTACTCAAGTCCAAAAAAAGATCAGTCATCTGGTCCTAGGGGTTATTATTTTTTTTTTCGTTAGCAAGGGACCTGCAGATAGATATACAGCTCTGTAAAGGTCTTAGGGTGAGAATTACTTTTCAGACCAACTGTTTGAAAGCCTGGTGGTTTCAACACGTCTCCTCCTGCTGGCTTATAATTTTTATTAAGTGCCACAGTGGGTTTCAGTTTGGGACCCAGTTTTAAATAGGCTTAAATAACTCTCTCTTAAAAAAAAACAAAAACAAAACCCACTGCTATGGAGTCAATTCCAACTCAGAGCAACCCAATAGGACAGAGGAGAACTACCTCTATTGGGTTTCTAAGCCTGTAAATCTTTACAGAAACAGACTGCCCAATCTTTCTCCTGTGGAGCAGCTGATGGGTTTAAACCACTGACCTTCTGGTTAGCAGCTGAATGCTTTACACACTGTGCCACCAAGGTGCCTGTAAGTGTCTCTAGTAAGATAATATTTGAAAATCTAGAAATTGGGGGTCGTTGGCAAGTCAGACGCCTTAGGCACTGTGCCACCACATCTCCTTCATTGCCTAGAATGCATATTATTAGTTCATTTTCCCCTCCTCCCAAATTCTACTTGAACTTTACTTTTGTGCTTCCTTCTGGTTTTCCTGGGATCAAACACAGCTGCTCTGCTAAAGTCGCCCTACTTAAATCGATGTCTCCTTGTCTTCCTCTCCTCTCCTAGATTGAGTTGGCCATTCTCCGGTTTCCCTATGATTCGTGGGGAACCCCCTTTCAGCAGCTCAAACAGGTGGTAGAAGAGCCATCGCCACAACTCCCAGCAGACAAGTTCTCCGCAGAGTTTGTTGACTTTACCTCACAGTGGTAAGAGAACCTCACCTCCCAGGTGCCATTGCTAAGAAAGAAGATGCGTTCTCATGAATTTATACTCCATCGGGTTTAGTCCATTGTGCATACAGTCATTCTGAAAGCATGTGTCGAGTATGCCCTTGATGCTGGAGATCAAAGATGATTAGATCACAGTCCCTGCGCTCATTGAGCTCAGAATTAGGTAGAACAGGGTCATCAGTCAGCAATTACAGTACAATATGGCACGTCCAATGATGGAGATATGGATAGAGTATTTGGGGAGCTCAAAAGAAAGGTATTGGGAAAGACTTTCTGGAGAAGAGAAATTCTGAATGGAGAGTCTGTGAGATACTTTTTCCAGCAAAAAGGAAGTAATGGGGTGAAATGTATTCTAAGAAGGAACATCATGTGTGGTGTTGCTGTTGTTGTTGTGGGCCGTTGATTCTGACTCATGGTCACCCCGTGTGACAGTAAAACTGCCCCATAGTATTTCCAAGGCTGTAATCTTTACAGAAGCAGATCTCCAGGTCTTTCTCTCATGGAGCCACTGGCTGGGTTCAAACCACCAACCTTCCAGTTAGCAGCTGAGCCCTTAACCATTTCACCACCAAGGTTTCTTATGTGCAGTGTTAAAAGCAAGAAACACCTTTATCAGAGCTAAAAGCAATTTGCTGTTGATTAGAGCACAAAGATAGAGGCTGATAGCAGCCACTGGAAGCCTAGTGATGGTGAGCAGAGAAGACTCGAGGAGTCACTCTGGGTGGGAAGATAGTGCGTAGTCTGGGACTGTTCCTTGGGTACTTGGAAGTCTTGTTTTAGTGCATTATAGCTGTTCACTGGGATACAATCGTCTGTAGGGTGTAGTGGATACTGTGGAAGATCCAGGGAAGGAATCCAAAGAAAGTTGGAGTTGAAGGAAGGAAGGAGTCATGTTACTGTTTTTGTTGTTACATGCAATCAAGTCAGTTCTGACTCATAGCAACCGACCCTACGTACAGCACAACGAAACACTGCCTGGTCCTGCACCATCCTCACAGTCCTTGCTGTGTTTGAGCCCGTTGGGTCTTCCTCTGCTTTACCAAGCATGATGTCCTTCTCCAGGAGCTGATCCCTCCTGATCACATGTCCAGAATATGTGAGATCAAGTTTCGTCATCCTCGCTTCTAAAGAGCATGTCGGCTGTACTTCCCCAAGACAAATCTGTTCATTCCTCTGGTCGTCCATGGCATATTTAATATTCTTTGACAACACAATAATTCAAAGACATAAATTCTTCTTTGCCCTTATTCATGGCCCAGCTTTCACATGCATATGAGGTGATTGACAATACCATGAGTTGGGTGAGGTGTACCTTAATCTCCAAAGTGACCTCTTTGCTCTTTAACACTTTAAAGAAGTCTTTTGCAGCAGATTTGCCCAATACACTGTCATAATCAAACGAAGGAGCCATAGTAATGCTGTAAATATTTTGTTTTAAGGAAATTACCAGTGGAATCTAGGCAAGTAAGAGAATGGATACTTTTCTCTGAACAATCCAGTGATTTCTGTCTCTGTGGTGAGAGTGGTGCCTAAGATAATTGGATACTAATGACCATGGAATCAAGTGCTGCTAGAAAAAAGGATACTAAAAGTAAAGCACAAAATAGCTTCAAATCAATATATTTGCAGAAGCAGATGAGACTTGGGGGGAAAGGGAGTTAGGGATGGTAGCAAGACCACCTGTGAACTGTGAAGAGTAACTGTTCTGGGCAGGTGCTGCTAAGGAAGAAGCTAGAACTCTGAAGGCTTTTGGAAGCACAGAGGACTGAAAAACAACCCTTTTCTCATGGTTATCACTCCCTGGCCAACACGCTCCTTGAAGAAGTATTCTGGTTTTTTTTTAAACATGATGAGATAAATAAAGCAACTGTCTGTTGCTGGTGAAACTAAGGCCTCTTGGACTCCTTGTGCCATCTCTCCCCTGGTCCTTTTTCCTAATTATATATGAGGCTCCCCTACAGTTTTTTCCATTTTCTTGACTGAATGACTGGAGAGAGGCTGGAGCACAGAGCTCTAGTGCAGTATGTACTTGGGTTCCTCTTAAAATCCACAGCCTCTGAGCCACTGTGATGTGTCCTTCTGTCTGCTTTCCCTGAGCTAGTGTCCTGGTTGTGGTGGTACACCTGCCAGAGTGAGGTGGGCTCATGATTTTACCTTTTGGGTTTACACATATGGCATTTTGTGTCTTTTCCCCTTATCCTCAAATGTTTAAAGATCACTTGGGAAAAGGGGCGAGTTCTCTTGGATTGTTCAGACCGGCAGCTCTCAAAGGAGGTGGAATAGCAGAGCATCTATCTAGGGGAGTCTCTGCCAACGGTCCTCCCTACTCGTCTTCTCCCACATGCCCCTTTGGCCAGGATGCTGGGAACTTCAGAAAACTGTGCTAAGAACAAGGCTGGTGTGAATAGTCTGAGAAAGCTGAGTCCCTTCTTGTGAATCACCACTTTCATCCACTGGCTCTCAGCTCTGACTGCTCGTTTATAGAACTCTGGGGAGCTTTCAGAACTACTGTTGCCTGGACCTCACCCTCAGAGATCCTCATCTACTTGGTATGGAGAGGAGCCTACGGATCACTATGTTTTTCAGATGTTCCACAAGTCAATTAAATGTACAGCCAGGAGTGAGAACCCTTACTTTAGACCTATGATCTGTGGACCTGCTGTCAACTTCTTTCTGTCCAGAAAGCTTCTATTACTTCACTCTTGATTTTAAAATCATTCTGTTTCTTTAATTTTCTTTCACTAAAGTCTTATTTCTCTTGGATGGAATTTCCCCTCAAAGAATCAGAGCTTTAAAGCTATTTTCAGATTTTTTTTTAATTGAAAAGAAAACTGTTTTCTAATCTCAATACTTGTGCACATATATGGGCATTCCAGCTACTTGTATTGTCTTTCTTTACATAACGACCACCCTGTAGTACCTTTGCTCCCAAGATCACCATGTCTTCATGGCTGTCCCCTCCTCAGATTCCCTTTCACTCTTTTTTCTCTCATTTTGAGTCCTAGCTACTATGGTAGTTCGTTATTCTTTAAATTTCGAGTCTTAGACATGTTCCTGCTTTCCCGTGTCTTCTCGTCTACACTCAAGCAAGCCAGTCTGGTTGTTTATGGGCTTGACTAAAAAAAAAAAAATAATAATAAGGATAATAGAAAAGAAATTCAAATCATTTCAATTTTGAAGTCATCAAAGTATGTTTCTTCCTCAGACTCCCAGTGAGTCACTGGGTTAGAACCTGACTCCTAAGAATATCAATTGTGTGAAATAGAGAGTTATTTTTGGTGGTTTGAGACTTGGGGGTTAGAAGAAAAGCATTCATTCTTCTTTTTATGAGCATTTTTTCTTATGCTCAGCCTGATTTTTTAAGAGTATAGAGGCTCTTATTTTAGACTCCTGGTCAATTGTTTTTTGTCTGCCACAAATCACCAATATATTGTCTTTGCTGTGTACTATTTTCAAGCCAAGTTGGAAAAGTAGTTTCATGCTTCAAAAAGTGGCACTAATTTCTTTTCAATCTTATGACTGACTTAGATCTTTATGGAAACAGTTTTATTTTTCATATACATTAGCACACAGATATATACCTCCACCTGATACCAGTCTAGTTCTTTCATTTTTTAAGAAATTACCAGTAGTTGTAAGTTTGATTGAGAGCTAGGTTGGAAGACTGGAAAAGGGATTGTCTGTGAAGAACATCTATTCTTTGATGGTGAGAAAGATATACCCTACAAATGTAACTGCTTTCCATCAGCAGTTTTTTGTTTCTTTGTGTATAAAACTCTATTTTGGAGACAATCTTCACGAAAGGACCCTTTTTGGAGTGATCACTATGTTGTCCTTGTATTTTCAGGACATAGTTGGCCTGTGATCTCACAGGACTTCTCAGAAAGAAAGTGAAAGAATTAATGTCAAATTTCAAGATAGGGACAACTATGTGTTTTGCTCCTGTATTTGTCTTTGGGCTAAACATAGAACTAGAAGAAAAAAGATATATCACTCCCAGCTAGGTCATCTGTCAGGGTATTTTTGACTTTTTGTGGCTACCTCCTGCCTAAGCATTTGATAGCATCATGATGCTGCTCTGCCTCATGCATTTGCATCCAGGGAAACATGTTGGTGGCCGTGCTGCTCTGACCCCCCAATACTGGTCACTGCTGTCCAGGTGGCGGTCAACAGTGGTTTGTGAGGTGCAGTAGAGAGCACTGCCAGGCTAATACTATACACTCTATCTTACTAGAACCCAGAATCCCAGGTGTTATGTATTTTTTGCAGTAACATCAGAGAACCATTACCTTGAAGGAAAAAAAGAAAAGAAGAGAAAATGAGACATTTATTTCTTATGAATTTGAAGAAAATCCCAATGATTCCTTACAAGCCCTTCCTTTATGTACTTAGGCTGGAATGGGACTGAAAACAAAAACAAAAACAAAAACAAACTCACTGCCTTTGAGTCAGATCTGACTCATAGAGACCCCTCCTTGGGTTTCTGAGGTGGTATCACTATGGAAGTAGATACTGCCTTGGAAACCCAAGGAGGGGTCGCTATGAGTTGGGGCCAATTCAACAACTCGTGGGCACATAACAACAACAACAACAATAAGTGGTGCAGTGCCTAAGGCATTTGACTGTTAACCAAAAGGCTGGCAGTTCAAACCCACCTCCTGAGATAGGAGTACTGGATGATTTTTTCTTCCTCTTTTGCCCATACATGCTTTCTTATCATAGGGTTAACAAAGAATTCCTAGGCTGGGTGGTGCTGACCAGATGGACCTTGTTTTGGGTTCATAATAGAGAAATCTCATAGAAAAACCTTACGTTCTAGTCCTGCAAAAGTTTCCCTTGGAGTCTTAGCAGGTTGATACTTTTCAACATAACTTCTTCCTATAAGTTCACAGGCTTGAAGACTGAAGGAAGTCACTGGCAATCAACTGCTGGGTTCCAAAGCAGCTAAGCTTCCTTTTTATTTTTCCTCCAGGCCA